GCACTCGCTGCCGTAGAGCATCGCAGGCCTTACCACTGTTCGGTACACCTTCCCTTTGAGCGTTCTGGAGCATCTTCGATCGCAGAGGATTCCAGTGGACTCCCTCCATTTCATCCATGCAGCTTCCACCACCGGATTCTCCTCTCGGTTCTTACCCTTGTCTTCTTGGGGAGGTCTATGGCAATGTCTGCCAGGAGGGGCCTGTGCTGGGGAGCCAGATCTTTGCCGGGTAGAACTTTGGTATTTTTCAAGAACGTGACTGCCAAGGCTGTAGCCAGGTCCAGAACCCTCTCTCCCTCAGCGTTCCTCGTTCCTATCCCTCTACCTCCGTGCACCCTTTCCAGCCTCTTCTGTCACTGCCGACGTGACCATTCAGATCACCTGCTATGGTGAGGTAATCGCCTTCCGGAATCGATCTTGATGGCTTCGTCAGGCTCAGATAGAACTCGTCCTTATCACTTTCGGGGCATCCGGCTTGCGGTGCGTACACGGAGAGTATGGTCCAGTACCCCTCCTTCGTGTCTATCCTCACAGCCATGATCCGATCGCTGATCCTGTTCACAGCGGAGACATAGTCCTTGAGCGACTCCGCTACCGCTATGGCCACACCGTTCCGCTTGGTGTCTTCTCCATTGTAGTAGAGTTTGACACCTTCCCCGATTTCCCTGGCCTTAGCACCTTTCCATCGCGTCTCCTGAAGGCATAGGACTTGGATATTCCTGCGCGTCATCAGATCAGCAACCTCTCGGGACTTCCCAGTTAGCGATCCTACGTTCAGAGTCCCAATTCGAACTAGCTTCTTTGGCCGAGGCCGTTCACTCCTCGGTAGCCCTCGCATACTGACCACAGAACTCGGGCGGGGGTTCTGCGCGCCACTTCCGGGTGACGTCCTAGCTTTATCACTGATTCTTTTTCGACTTTAGACATATTTGTGTGACTGGGGTCTTCATCAGCCGGCCTGTCAACCTGGGCCTGACGCTGGTACTAGAACCATTTTTGCAATTTTTGCAAGGCATGGTTAGCCTCGGCAGGGATCGAACTCGCGGTTTTCAGAGGTGCAGACATGAGTCTAACCTCTTAACCACTCGGCTATCCCTGCCTCAAAATCTGTAACAATTGAAGATTGGAAAAAAAATTGCGTTATTGCGAGGGGGTGTGAAAAGAGTTGCGGCAACGCAATGAAACCCTGGCACTCATTACTACTTGTATAAAGGTTCATAAAAAGTTATATTCATCTAGTAAGCAGCTTAAACCAGTAAACCTTAAGGAAAATAGGCTTCGAAGCGCGTGAGCAACTCATTTTCTCCGGAGCCCCTCTCTACTTAGCTTGCCTCAGTTATGAAGGGAGCTTGGTCCATCCTTTTCGGGTATCAGGAGAACATTTCAAATCTTTATCCAGTGTGCTGTGATAAAACAAACCCAAAAACATCTAGTGCGAAAAATAAAGTTCTGAAAAACACTGAAAGCGCGCGTGTGTTGCAATGAATTTACAAGCAATCCATGGATCATCACCATAAGCTTAGGAAGAAACGAGCAGCACCTTTTATGCGAACAGCAACAAGCACGAATTAGCACCGCATGCAGTACCAATGGTTCTGAAGCTTTGTGGGAACGAACAAAAAAATTACGAGAAGGAACATCATAAAGGAAAACATACCATCAAGTAGCCACCCGATTTACTAAGACGTTTTACTTTTCTGTGGTGACCATATCAATCAAATAACTTGAAGTCTAAAAACGCTAATCAGCTTTTGCCCTAAATCTTCCCATCCGACCTCCAAACATGGTGTAACATATGCATATGTAACATTTATTCTATGATTATGCGGAAGTTAAAATTGATCAGAGGGAGGGGATGCCACATTGTGAAAACAGTGCTGATTACACCATATGTATTTACATAGAATTCTTTGAAATAATTTCTCTTCAACAGAAAGGAACCGTTGTATAGCACGAAGAGGCACCAAATTTTTCAATTCAAAAGAATTTTTTCAAAAGTTTCCAAAATTTCCAAGTATCGAAAAAATTCCGAATATTCCAAAAAAAGACAAGAAACGGTTCGAAAAGAAGGACATTTCGGTGTATTACACCTGCGCCAGGCCTGGAATACATTTATAGCAGGTGTGAGTAGTGCGGTTGTTTC